AAAATATTTGAGCACCAGTAGCATAAAGGAGAGATGACAAATAATTCTACTTGTCTGGCCATATTACCAGTATTCAGCTCCCTTTCAATCACTCATTCAACATTTACTTAGTGGATATGATTTATTTGCTAAGCATTGTGCTAGACACAGGGAACTCTGACATGAAACTCATTTTTTTTCTTTAAGATTTTATTTTTAAGTAATCTCTACACCCAAGTGGGGCTTGAATTTACAACCCCAAGATCAGGAGTCGCAGGCTCTACCAAATAAGCCAGCCTGAAACGCTTTGCTGTGAAAGCCCCCGACTGGGAGAAATAGACGTGCCGGCAAATGATAACTCAACGAGTGCTGTATTCTGAGAACACAGAGGACAGAGCAACGGAACAATCTGAAGGCTGAAGGCATTTTCCTGGGAGTTAAAATCTGACCTGAGACTGGGAGGGTGGAGGGAAGGAGTGGAGTGTGGATCATGAGAACATTGCCGGCTGTGGAGCGAGCAGGACCGTGGTCTTCTGGGAAGGGGAAGAAGTCAGCTTGATGAGGAACACTGAAGGAAGAAGGGCCTACCCTTTTCACGAGACGAGAAAGTGGGCCAATGCTAGATCATAAACTCTGTTGTAGTCCAGGCCCAAGGGCTTGAATTTTATCTTGCAGGCAACTAGGGACCACTAAGTTCTGAAGTAAAGGATTGCTGTGACAAGCTTTGCATTTTATTTTATTTATTTATTTATTTATTTATTTATTTTTACAATGATACTTTTTTTTTTTTGGAGATTTTATTTATTTATTTGACAGAGAGATCACAAATAGGCAGAAAGGCAGAGAGAGAGAAAGAGAGAGAGAGAGAGAGAAGCAGACTCCCAGCTGAGCAGAGAGCCCGATGCGGGGCTCGACCCCAAGACCCTGAGACCATGACCTGAGCCTAAGGCAGAGGCTTAACCCACTAAGCCACCCAGGCGCCCTCAGCTTTGCATTTTAGAAAGGAAACTCTAGTGGCAATATTGGAGGATAGATTGGAAAGATCAGAGGTTATAAAGTCCCATTGTATTATGGTAGCTTCGAACTTTGATGGTAAACAAGGCAAGAGGAGATCTAGGAATCGAGAGACATTTCTGAGGTAGCGAGTGCACAGAAGTTATTGTCTCACCGAACCTGCAGAGAGAGGAACTTGCAGATAATACCAAAGTTTTAGGCTTATGAGAGTGAACATATGTGGTCCTCTAACTCCAATGATTGAGAAAGTAGGCTGTGGAGGTAGACAGTAAGGTCCACATTGGTGGTGCAGAAAAGTTACCTTGGGAACATCTGGGTATATAGATGTCCAAAGGGCAACTGGATATAGGGTTGGATTCCAGCAAGGAATCTAAGTTGCAGAGAGATTTAGAAGTTGTAAGAATAAGAGTGGTAGCTGATGTCACCTTGGGAGGGCAGGGAGAGTGACAAGAGGACATATAAATATTGGTCAGGGAAGAAGTCACCAGGGCAGAGAAAGCATGATCAGAGTACTGGGCAACAGTGGGGTCTGAAAAGCCAAGGAAGAAGTTTTGCGGACTAGGACATGGCCCAAAGCATCAAATGCTGCAGAACAGTCAAATACATTAGGAGCTGAACACAGGTTTGGGAAGTGGCAGTTAAATGAGAAGTCACTGGTGACCTCAGGCAAAGTCATTTCATTTTGGGTTTAGTTTAGATTTTGATGAGGTGAGTGACTCTGGCTTTAGAAATGGAAAGTGGTGTGGAGAGACCAGAGGTCATAAGCCAATATCAAGTAGCCTATATAGTTTCCATCCGCATCACTTCTTTTTTGCCACGGGTCACTCACTTAGCTCAACTGCTTGGACTGTGCAGGAATTTAAATTAACATTAGAATAGATTATGTCAAGGGAGTGTAGGAGAAGCTGGAGGTCAGTAATAGGTTTACAAGAAAAAGATCAAGGGAAGATTGTTTTTTCCTGGGGGTGGTGGTTAGGAAGGAGATAAACACTGAATGAATGAATGAATGAATGAACTAATGAACAAATGAATGGTGTGTCTCTTCAGTACCAGATAGAGGAAAATTAAGGATGTTTGTCTCTGTCAGATGACCTCTAGGCTTTGTTGGGGCAAGAAATTAATGCTACTCACATGAGACAGACTGACCAAGTGGCCCAGGTTGCTGGTGGTTCCTGCTTTATGCTTCATGTCTCCTAGAGCTGGAACTGAATAGAGCCTTGAAGCAGTGGTTTGGGCTGTTTTGGTTTCAGGGCTTGATTTCTCTTTGTTGTGCATTCTTACCTTTCATAGGTATACTTCCTATCCCATCCCCTCCCATTCAGTATCTGCTGTACTTACCTCTTCTCAGTCGCCAACTATAGCCCTCCCTGGCCTGGGCACACTAATCTAAATCCCTAAGGACCCTAAATTCATTCATCGTTTCAGCAAACTCCGAGCAAGGTGCACCTTTTGTGGACAATGCTTAACCTCAAAAGAGCAATGGCAATGTGAGATCTCTTTGAAGCTTTGGGCCCTGTGGGCTCTTTGGAGGGCTAGGAGAAGGAAAATCTGGGAGCAGATAGAACTCAATGACATGAGCAGTTCTGACTCATGGTTTCTCCTCTCTTGGTAAAGGGTGGTGTACTCATCAAAGCCATTCTCTGAAGTGACAAGAGAGTGAGTCATTTGGTGAGGCCACCTTGATTGACACTGGGCTGCTTGCCTGAGGAGTACATGAGGAAGGAACTGTCTGTCCTACTGCGCCATCAGCCTAAAGTCTACTTCTGTGTGGTTCACACGGGGTAAATCCTTGTAGGACAACTGAATAGACAAAAAGAGTGATTACAGGCCTTGACCTTCAGGAGGCCACTTTACCTCCCAGGTTCTTCCCTGGTAACAGGAGTGTATTTCCTCTTACCTCCCAGATTAGGGGTGGGATCAACAGAATAATGGACCTAGTGCCATAGCTGGTATATACTACAGGGGTGGGGGGGTGGTCACAGTTGGCTCTCCTCTCTCTGCAGCCCATTCTTTTTCTACTCGTGTGCACAGACAGAAACTTGACTGATCTCACCTCTGGCGACACTTAATATTCTTTTTTTTTTTTTTTTTGAGGATTTTATTTATTTATTTGAAGAGACAGCGAGAGAGGGAACATAAGCAAGGGGAGTGGGAGAGGGAGAAGCAGGCTTCCCGCTGAGCAGAGAGTCCGATGTGGGGCTTAATCCCAGGACCCTGGAATCATGACCTGAGCCAAAGGCAGACGCTTAACGACTGAGCCACCCAGGCGTCCCTATACTTAATATTCTTAGTATTATTTTTCTCCATCATTTACTTCTCATTTAGAGTGTCTAGCAGTATTTTAAGTATCATTTATAAGCTAGCTTAAATCTTTTGGAATAAGGTAAATTAAAAAAATAAGCACCTCATACCAGAATAATAGTTTGGCTTTTTTTTAATTCTAAAATACTTTATAATTAATATTGATAAGAAGACTGATATACAACGCAATTATTTACTTTACAAGGAGATTCTGTACATCAGGGAAACATCTTGAAGTACAATACATCATTTATTTCTTCTTTACATTATGATTGTGAATTGTTACTTACACAAAAAGGGAACACAAAATCCATTATATATATATATATGTATGTATATGTATATATATAAAAACACCTGAAAAGACTTGATCCCCAAAGCGTCTTGTTTCAAAAGGACATGATGAGATGAAAGACGAACTAGAGTGCTTGGCGGCCCAGAGAGCAGACAAGTAGCTCAGGTAATCAAATCCTGTTTCAAACTTGGCACATGAAGGCGAAGCCAGGCAGCGGAAGAAGGGTTTGAAAATGTCACTTCAAGTCACAGAGAATGCTGGCATCAGCCAAACAGTCTCCAAACTGACCCAAGAGAACAAGTCATATGTGTGGCCACCTTACATACAGACCTCTGCCAACTGTGTAGAACTTTCACTTTTCCTGCAGTCACACCTAATGTAATGAGCTTCAAGGAGCTGCAGCCCCACCAGTTTCATAGCTGCAAAGCATGTGACAGTAACTGAGAAATCCGAAGACTTCCCTATCCCCCATACAGAGAGAAAACACTCCCTTTCACGGTCACCTCACCTCCTTCGTTTTGACCTGATATTCTGATTTTTTTCAGCAAATATCACAGGGACATAAAAGCAGAAAACGAGGAATGTCTACTTAACAGCTGCGACAGAGCAGGGACCTCAGAAGAAATCTATGAAACAGCCACCGTTTTCTGAACATTAAAATAAGGGGAAAAAGCCACATTCATCAGTTAAAAAAGGAACTATTTTTTTTTTCCACTTAGTATGGACAGGTATTAGAAGGAAAGGATGAGGCTGTATGGTTTTCAAAATAGAAACTCAAAGAAAGCAAATTAATTTTGTTTTAGAAAATCATATTACTACATATTACAAATACAAGGGTGGGGACTGAGTCCAGGCCGGGGCACTGAGGATACTGGCGACTGCTTGGCAGAGGATGGGTACATGAGGGGGAAGCTGCCAGAGAGGGTAAGGTCAGCAGGAGGGAAGGGGGAGCGCGCAGCAGGAGGGCCAACAGCACTGAGGAGAAGGGAGGAGGAGTGGGTCATGATGGTGCCCCTCCTACTTCCTCCTCCAGAGACCCCTTCCGGTCCAGCACCCGTGTCCCTAGACCTTACAGTGACCTTCAGGGACGGGGGGTGGTGGTGGTGGGGTGGGGGGTGGTCCAAGGAGGACAGCTGCTCCCACAGAGTTGCCACAACTCTGTTTTACAGAGGAGAATACACCTATTGTTTAGAATGATTTAGAATCTCATTTGGTATGACAAAAGTACAACAGCTTATAAAATTTAAGACATGAGTTTGTTTTCTGCCAAATTGGCATGAACAATAAAGGCCTTTTTTGGTGTTGGTTTTGTCTGTAGAAAACATATACGCTTTCTCATTTTCCTAACTTGGAATCTAGCTGCAGCTCAGATTGCTTCATAGATAGGAAAAACACAAGTTTCTAGCACGTCTTCAAGATTTTTTTTTTTTTCTCTCAAACTTTAAAAATAAAAATCAGGATGACTTGTGCTGAAAAGGAAGAACATGTCAGATCCTGAGCTTCTCTGAGGCCTGATCCCTGGAAGAGGCCTGTATTGCTGTGTTACCAGAGGTATAGTACGCTGTTTTCAACGGACGTGCCAATGTGGTGTGGAGGCGTGCCCTGGAGGTGGGGGCCCTTTTGCCAGAAGGCTGGGGGCCTCCAGAAGGTTCTTCCCACCACCAGCTGGATCTGACAGCTGGAATTTGGTGCCTGCACAAGGGGCTCTCCCAACCAGGACGGAGCAGGTAAGGCGAACGGTGCAAACTGTGCCCCCGCACAGGCAGTCATCTTGGGGTGAGGGTGCGGGTGGCCCGGAGTGTGGGTGGCTGGTGAGGAGGAACCCACAAGTATGCTGCGGCATCACAGGGTTCAACGGCACTGGAAAGATGCTCAGTCTTGCCCAGAGCAGCACACGACTACCCATTCCAGTGAAATGCTACGTTCACAGAAGTGCTGTTCGCCGGGAGCCACATCCCAGAGGACTCAACCCTGGCTGTGTGGGGAAGTGCAGAAATTCCTTCCACATCACTCTGGAGACTGAAGCAGCCAAGCAGTCCTGTGTTGGGAGGTTTAGTTGTTCTCTCAGACTTCAGTGTCAAGGACGATGGTAGCTAAAACAAGATGAGCAGAAAGAGCCGAGTTACCAGATACTGTAGACTCCTTTGCTGCCATTATACTCTTATCAAAATTGCCTCCTTGCTACTCTAATTCTGCCTGACTTTTCTTCTTCTTTTTCTTAAGTCATCTCCACAGCCAGTGTGGGGCTTGAACTCATGACCTTGAGATCACATGCTCTACTGACTGAGCCAGCCAGGCGCCCTGTTTTCCTTCTTCTTTGCTTTTCCTCAGAATGCTTTCCTGGTATATTTTCCTGTCCATCCTTTACATACAAATAATTTTCCCCTTAAAAACCACTATCTTTTCTCATAATTTTATATCTTGAGGCTTTGCTTTCTCCCTGGACTTGCAGCCTGAACACCCAACCTTCCTCTATGAATCTCCGCCTCAATGGGTCACAGGGTCATGGGGCTCAACATACAGAGTGTGTTTTCCAGTTTGCTTACTGTGCGTCTTCCCCTTTTAAGATAAAAGCTGTGGCTCAGTGGGTTAAACCCTCTGCCTTCGGCTCGGGTCATGATCTAAGGGTCCTGGAATCGAGCCCCGCATTGGGCTCTCTGCTCAGCAGGGAGCCTGCTACTCCCTCTCTCTCTGCCTGCCTCTCTGCCTACTTGTGATCTCTGTCTGTCAAATAAATAAATAAAATTAAAAAAAAAAAAAAAAAAAAAAAGCTTATCGAGGACAGGGACTTTATCCTGTTCCAGGCTATCTTCCAAGCACCCAGAACTGCTATCTACCAGGCAGTAAGTACTCAATAAGTATTTGCTAAATAAATGTCCCAAAGTGTTCACCTCAACTCATCGACTTCATAAACCTCAAAAATCACAAGTTCGAAATCTTAAGTCACTTGACTACTTCCCTTAATTCATCCCCGGAATCAAGAGATAGCCCGATCTTGAGTCTATGCTTGAAATACGTTTTATTTTTAAAGATTTTATTTATTTAATTGACAGACAGAGATCACAAGTAGGAAGAAAGAGAGAGAGAAGGGGAAGCAGGCTCCCCGCTGGGCAGAGAGCCTGATGTGGGGCTCCATCCCAGGACCCTGAGATCATGACCTGAGCCGAAGGCAGAGGCTTAACCCACTGAGCCACCCAGGCACCCCTGAAATACGTTTCTTTAAAAGATTTTATGAGAGAGAGCACGCACGAGCAGGGGGAGATGCTGAGCGTGGAGCCTGCACTCGGGGCTCAATCCCAGGACCCTGAGAGCACAACCTGAGCCGAGCCAGACACTTAACCAGCTGAGCTACCCAGACTCGAAATGTTGTTCAAACCTCTTTCGCGTGTTGTCACGATCACATCCCTGGTTTGAGCTACCAGTGTGCTCACTGTGACGATTTTAGTGACTTCCTAACTGGTTTCCTTGCGGCTAGCTTCTCTAGCCTTCCATGGCACCTGCCAGAGCTCCAGCAGAATCCTAGCCTAATCCTAGCTCCACCTGCATTCTAGCCTGACAGGCAAAGCTCTGCAGCGTCTGACCATAACCCATCGCGCCGGTCTTCTCCTCCCCACATTGCTCCCATATGTCCCCTGCTCCAGCTATATTTTCGGTCACCCGGAGACAAGGCACACTTTCTCATCTCCTCCAGCCTTGTTGATGCTGGTCCTTCTGCTTACAGTGCCGTTTGGTAATGCTGGTTCTTTCCTTCCTTCCTTTTTGTCCAAATAAATTCCTTCACATGCTTTAAGACTCAGTCTAAGTATACCTTCTCTATGACCCTTTTTCTTGAATGCTGCGCACTATAGTACTTTATTACTATTAGAATAACAATGAGAACAGCTAACACTGACACAGCTAGGAAATGGTCGAGCTGGGATACGAAACCTGGCAGATTCAAGATTCGGAATGACTGAGGCATTTATCATACTGATTGCACTATACTGAGTAGCTTCCAGATTAGAGTACAGTCTCCTTGCTGACAAGTATGGCTTGTTATTTGAGTTCATATTACAATGCCCCGAGTAGTGTTATTCTTGTTCAAAAAATCTGCCTTCTATACTCCTATCAGAATTCAGTACAAAAAAATTCTGTAGTTATGGGGCACTCAGGTGTCTCAGTGGGTTAAGCCTCTGCCTTCAGCTCAGATCATGATCCCAGGGTCCTGGGATCAAGCCCCGCATCCGGCTCTCTGCTCAGTGGGGAGCCTGCTTCCCCCACCCCCTGCCTGCCTCTCTGCCTGCTTGTGATCTCTGTCAAATAAATGAATAAAATCTTAAAAAAAAAATTCTGTAGTTAAAAAAACCAGGTCACCTGAGTGGCTCAGTCAGTTGAGCATCCACCTCTTGGTTTCAGCTCAGGTCATGGTCTCAGGGTCATGGGATTGAGGCCCATATCAGGTTCTGTGCTTGGTGTAGAGTCTGCTTGAGATTTTCTCTCTCCCCACTCTGCCCCTTCCCCTGCTCATGCATGTTCTCCAAAATGAATAAATAAATCTTTAAAAATAAATAAATAAATAAAAGCAACATTTGCCTGTATTGTGATAGAAAAATGTTTAACTAACAATATTTTATCTTCCAACTTAGCTTATTTGCTTTTTATGGCAAACTGTAATCATCATTGTATCATTGTATCTTCCCTCATTTAGCCTCTCTTTTTTTTAAAGTTTACTTTTAGTAATTTCTACACCCAATGCGGGGCTTGAACTCACTACCCCAAGATCAAGAGCTGCATGTTCTTCCAACTGAGCCAGCCAGGCGCCTCTGGCTTTTTATAAATGTTCTGAGAGTCACCTACATACTTTCACAGATTCTGTTTGTAGCCAGCTAATTCTTTAGGTTTTGGGTGGGTCCTTAATTACAACCATAGTTCTGCATCAAAATACTTCTTGGTTTGTTTCATGAAGACAGCCAACTAAAATGAAATTTATACCCTGACTCGGTAAGATCAGCAGTGACAGAAATAACTGAAATCAAAGAGGCTGAGGTTTCGTCTAACCCAACAACAATTTCCTCACACATACCCCGGGACAGTGAGGTGCAGGAGGAGAGCACCCAGAGGCTTCCAGTCAGTCATTCTTTTCTCCAGTCCTGGTTCTGGAACTTAATGAACCCTTCTAGGCCTGTTTCATGTCTTTCTTTCTTTCTTTCTTTCTTTTTTTTTTTTTTAGGTAAGCTCTACACCTGGTGTAGGGCTTGAAATCACGAACCCCCACATCAAGAGTTTCATGCTCCACCAACTGAGCCAGCGAGGTGCCCTGGCCTGTTTCTTCATCAACAAAATGGGGATATTAACAAAGCCTCCAGGTCTATTGCAAGGATGAAATGATACATATAAAATACTACACTCAATCAGGCACTTCCTACAGCCTTTTGGTTTGGTCCTCGTCCCTTTCTCTTATGTAGTCTTACAGTCAGCATGCTGTGTCCTTCTTTTAATGATGTCCCTAGAGTCCTTCCCATTGGAACCCCCCTTATATTGGTGTCGTGGGGGAGCTCTACTTAGCTCACGGTATTTGTGTCTTCTGGGTCTTACCGTGTAAAATGTTTGCTCTCTTCATGAACCTCCATCTCTGAGCTTTTAAATTCATTTAATTCTTTTCGTATGGCAGCCTGTGGAGTAGAAACAAAGATGTTTCAGCATCTTTCATCTGCCCCAGTACAGCCGTGTCATCTGCCATCTATTCTCTATCGTGCTTAACTTCGTGAGCCACGGCAGCCCGCAGCGGGCAAGCCAGAGCGAGGAGAGAAGCCAGGTCCGCACGCCGAGCCTGATACACATCGCCCTCCCTGACACCATTCAGCTCCCAATAAACCGAGTATCTCCACTCAGATCAAAACACTCACAGAGCTTAAAAGAGATATTGTAGCTTTAATATTTTCTTTTCTTTTTTTTTAAAGATTTTATTTATTTATTTGACAGAGAGGCAGTGAGAGAGAGCATGAGCGAGGAGAAGGTCAGAGGGAGAAGCAGACTCCCCATGGAGCTGGGAGCCCGATGCGGGACTCGATCCCGGGACTCCGGGATCATGACCCGAGCCGAAAGCAGTCGTCCAACCAACTGAGCCACCCAGGCGTCCCTATATTTTCCACAGCACATAAAAAATGTCTTTCCTGTTATAAAAGTGAAATCTATAATTACTAAAATAAACTACACAAACTTCCTCCAGCCAAACCTAACCACCTTAAAATGTGTCTTAATTTCCTTCCAGATCTGTGGACTCTGTGACAGAGCAAAGACTTTCTTTTCTTTCGGATGTGGCCGCAGTGGCGGTGGTGGAGTCATTAGTATAAAGTTTTGGTTCCTACGTCTGTACCTTGATTAGAAATTTAACATTATAGCAGAAGTAAACATTTTACGATTCTTCCCTTCTAGTTAGTGCCTTACATTCTTCAAACAGAGAGTGAGAAAGACAAACGAACAGCCACCTACCTTGTCAGCAGGGGTCAGTTTGGTCCAGGGTTTGTCGGCTCGCCTGTCATAATCCTGAGCATCTGTCACCTCCACGTATTCATTAAACCTCAGGATCTTCCTGGCAAGTAGTTCAGCCACAGTCGGCCTTTGACTGAGCTGAAAGAAATGGAGCCTCTTAATTCACTAAGCCAGGAATCAGGCGTCAAACAGGCATTCCAACTGCCTCTGACCCAGGGCTTCAGCCCTGGAGGCACGAAGAATTACTTGGGGGCCTTTAGACAGCAGATTTCTGGGTCCACTCCCAGAGATTCTGGGTATTGGGAGGTTTTGTTTTGTTTTTAAAGTTCCTGAATGCCCAGCTAAACTGAGAACCACAGCTATAAACCAGTATAACCAGTATAACCGGTGCCTCTCAAACTTTAATATGCATACACATTGTTTGGGGACCTGGTTAAAATGCAGATTCTGATTTGGCAGGTCTGAGGTGGGACCTGAGATTCTGCATCCCTTGCACGCTGCCAGGTGATGCCAACGCTGCTGGTCCATGGACCACGTATCGGGTAGCAAAAGGATTAGGGCTATCAATTCATATATAATACATTTGAAAGTGAGGACATTTATTTTTTCTTTTTATTTTTTTAAAGATTTTATTGGAGAGAGAGAGAGAGAGTGAGCAAGAGAGCACAAACAAGGGGGAGTGGGGGAAGCTGCCTCCCCACTGAGCAGGGAGCCCGACCTAGGGCTCAATCTTAGGACCCTGAGATCATGTCCCAAGGTGAAGGCAGATGCTTAACTGACTGAGCCACCCAGGTGCCCTGAAAGTAAGTACATTTAAGATGAAAGCAGTAGGGGCACCTACAGTGGGGAGCCTGCTTCCTCCTCTCTCTCTCACTGCCTGCCTCTCTGCCTACTTGTGATCTCTGTCAAATAAATAAATAAAATCTTTAAAAAAAAATGAAAGCAGTATCTAGTGGGTAACATAAAGGGTAAATTTCCTTTTAATATGAATAATGCCCAGATTCAGTAATGAATTATGATTTAAGGTTGCACAATCAGGTCACCTGCTCAATCTGAAGGCATCAAGTCCAGCTGTGCCATCTAGCTACCCTCAATTTATCAACGATTCTTCTGTTCCTGGGGAAGGGAAAAAGTGGGAGAAAAAAGGAAGAAAATGTCTAGATCCTTTGCTTTTCTGGGCATTCTTTTTTTTTTTTTAAATTTTTGTTTATTTACTTTTTAAAAAGATTTTATTTATTTGAGAGAGTGAGCGAGAGAGAGCACAAGCAGGGTAAAGAGCAGAGGGAGAAGCAGACTCCCTGCTGAGCAGGAAGCCTGATGCGGGCTCGATCCCAGGACCCTGGAATCATGACCTGAGCCGAAGGCAGCCGCTTATCCAACTGAGCCACCTAGATGTCCCTTTTCTGGGCATTCTTGTAACTTTTAAGAAATATCTAGAGAATTCAGGCCAAACTGGAATCGATCAGTGGCAATTATAAACTATTATGGTGGGAAGGAAAGGAAAAAGGGATTAATCCCTAAGCTTAAAAGCTAACATAGGTCTGGTACAGGAAAGATTCTACCCTATTTGATCTGGGACGAACAACAAAATCCCAGGTGGTGTTTTCATACTTTTCAGGTATCACTAAGGGTCAGTTCGATTCCTTCTGAGTAGAAAACCACCAGTTTTCCAGGCAAAACTGAATGCTACACACTCCCCCTGGTACCATCTCTAAACTTCAACAGGTTTTAGAGTCCACATAAAATCCCAGGTTTACCAAATAAAAGATCAGAATTTTTGCAAACATTAATGAGGCCCCTTCTTGTGCCAGGTGTTCTTTAAATAGTAAAAATGAAAAAAAAAAAAAACAAACAAAAAAACAAGCTCTTGAGAATGCAGTGTTATTTTTGGTATCTGCATCATGGATTCTATTTTCACAGCAATCTATGGCAATTCAAGTCAAATTCATTTATTTTTATTTTTTTTTAAAGATTTTATTTATTTATTTGACAGAGAGAAATCACAAGTAGGCAGAGAGACAGGCAGAGAGAGAGAGAGAGGAGGAAGCAGGCTCCCTGCTGAGCAGAGCCCGATGCGGGGCTCGATCCCAGGACCCTGGAATCATGACCTGAGCTGAAGGCAGAGGCTTTAACCCACCAAGCCACCCAGGCGCCCCTATTTTTATTTTTTTTTAAGGTTTTACTTATTCATTTGAGAGAGAGGGTGAACAAGTGAAGGGGAGGGGAAGTGGGAGAAGGAGAAGCAGGCTCCCGGCTGAGCAGGGAGCCTGACGTGGGGCTCGATCCCAGAACCCTGGGATCATGACCTGAGCCGAAGGCAGACGCTTAACCGACTGAGCCACCCAGGCGCCCCCAATTCATTTCTTTCTAACCAAACAGGTCATCCAAATACAAGGTATGTCATCAGTAGACAGCCTGAAACCGAACACTTGGGCTACATACCTTTCTAGTGAGCCGACGTTTAATTTCTCGTTTTTCGGCCTGCCGATCAGCTTCATTTTTAGCTACAGTCAACAGCCCAAAACAAAGAATATTACTTCAAAACAGCAATTTGCCTATCAAAGTTTTCAGTAATTACAGGGCAGTTAATTCTTATAGACTCCAAGTCGGAATAAAATACTAACTTTGGGGATGGCTAATCAAGACAATTTTCTCAACTGTAGAGTCGAATACTTAAAAGCAAACGTCAGCAGCACTACGGTACCAAATCCAGCCAGTTGGCTGTGTTTTTAACCACCTGTGAGCTAAGAATGGTCTTTATGTTTTTCAATGATCATATAGGGAATGGCTTGGTATGTGCCTAGGTTTCGTGTGATAGGTCTATAAAGTTTCCCAAGTTTAAAATTCACTTAGTGCCTAAACTGTATGTATCCACACAGTGATGAGAGAACAGGGGATGGGCTAGTCAGACCGAGCATGCCCCCAAGTGATGCTATGAAGCCTAATCCTCTCAGCGTGGAGGCTTTAAGGGCAAATTTCACCCGAGAGTCTGGAAAACGGATTCAAATGTGTATTAGATCAGAATGCTATTTTAGGAAGTTAGTTATGAACACAGAAAGAAAATGAAATACAGGGTCTTATTTTGTGACTTCAGATGTATGAAAGTCTTCAGAGATGAAAAAGGCAACTGGGCCTTGCTTTGGGCCCCAGGCCTCAAAGTGCACGAGGAATAGGAAGGTCCCCTCCAAATGCAAAGCCACTACCTTCCCCCAAGGCAGAGAAAAGTCGGGTAGCATCTACCGTGTGCTGTGAAATCCTCCTATACGGCCAAGGCAGTCTCAGGATACATCAGAACAGAATTTTCTGGCACTTCCCAGTACACTAAGCAATAACACAGTATCTTATAAAAGAAGCTTGGGGGAACTCTGTTCCTTTAGGGGAAAAGATATGAGTGGTCCTTGCTGGGCTGGAACACCTTCTCCTTGGCCCTTGTAGAAAATGCTTCTCTTCTCCAGCGTGTATATTCAAGTCAGAAATACAAAGTCTGAGAAATTCTACCCAATTTTCTTCCCAGAGCTGGACTCACGTTGTAGTATGTTTCGCTGTTCTAGTTCTTCCGGTGTCGGTCTTTGACTCAACCGTCTAAAAAGGAGATAAATAAGGATACTGTCCATTAAACGTCCCAAGCCTGCTTATAAAGATTTGTTTTGGTCTCAGTGTATATTAGCCTCTACACTAGCAAGAAAGCAAGAGGTTATGCAGAGGTTATGCAGTTAAACTGTGTTGGTATTTCATTAGTTTCTCTGATTGTTTATGAAACAATTCTCATGTTGGAAGTGTTAGTACAGATGCCACAACATAAAACAGAATTGTACATGCAAACAGGAGGCCAAAATTCCAATTCTAGCTCTGATATTAATGAGCCCTGTCACCACAAAAAGGCTCAGTTAGATCGTGAGTGTAGTCATCTATAAAATGAAGGTTTAGACTGGACTGCTGCCTCCCAAACAGATTTGCTGAAAGAGCACAGAGTTTCAAGGCATACTATAGAAATTCTGATTCAGAAAACCAGGCATGAGGACTGAAATTTTCATATATGTATTTTTTCAGTCCTTCCCACCTGACTCTCATGTCTTCCTTTTGATTTTTAAACCAGTGAGTTAGCAACCACTGGAATTTAAGGCTGTCTCTTTTCAAATGATATTCTATGATTCTATGATTTTATTTCTGGTTCTCTCTGTAAAATACTGATGAAGTTTCTCCTCTCATCCACAGCTCTGAGAGGCTAATCACCAACAATAACTTGTCGTCTCTGGAATCAGTTATTCACTTGTTACGTTTGATTTCTACTTCTCAGTATTTGAACTGCATGCTAGCAACCCTTTAGCTGGCTGCCTAGAGAACTCCCAGCCCCAATTTCTATACAATTTACAACATTCTTTATGTATTTTTTTTTAAAGATTTTATTTATTTATTTATTTATGGGAGAGAGAGAGAAAGAGAGAGAGCGCGCACAATTAGGCAGAAAGGCAGCAGAGGCAGAGAGAAAAGCAGGCTCCCTGCAGAGCAAGGAGCCTGATTCAGGAATCGATCCCAGGACTTTGGGATCATGACCTGAGCCGAAGGCAGCGGCTTGACTGAGTGAGCCACCCAGGCACCCCTTTTCTTTATGTATTTCAAAGTTTTTCTTGGTCACTCTGAATAAGACCTTCCTTTTTAAATGTTCATCAAAAACAAACAAACAAACAAAAAACCCCAAAACAAACAACAAAACCCCCACACTCCAGTAATGTCTAACTGACATACAATAAACCACATGATTTGCTATTTTTATATGTGTATATACTTGTGAAACCATCACCACAATTACAATGAACATACCCATCAACCTTGTACTGGTGTCCTAGGGCTGCTGTAACAAATTACCACAAATTAGGTGGCTTAAAACCACAAAAATTTATTCTCTCACAGTTCTGGAGGCCAGAAGTCCAAAATCAAGGTGTGGGCAAGGTTGGTTCCTCCTGAGCCTCTGAAGGGGATCTGTACTATGCCCCTCTACTAGCTTCTGGTGGGGCTGCCAGCAGTCTTTGGCATTCTCTGGTGCACAGACACATCACTCCAACCTCTGCCTCTACAGTCACCCAGCACTGTCCTTGCATCTGTGTTTGAATCTGTGTCCAAATTTCCATCTTCCTTTTATATTTAAAATAGCCTCTATGCCCAATATGGGCTTGAACTCATGACCCTGAGATCAAGAGTCGAATGCTCCACCAACTGAGTCACCCAGGTGTCCCCCGTCCATTTGCTTTTTTCTTTTTTTAAAGATTTTATTTATTTATTTGACAGAGATCACAAGTAGACAGAGAGGCAGGTAGAGAGAGAGAGAAGGGGAAGCAGGCTCCCCACCAAGCAGAGAGCCCGATGTGGGGTTCGATCCTGGATCCTGGGATCATGACCTGAACTGAAGGCAGAGGCTTTAACCCACTGAGCCACCCAGGCGCCCCTCCATTTGCCCTTTGATGGATATTTGTGTTTGCTGGATCCTATGGTTGATTTTTAAAAAAATAATTTTTTAAGGATTTTATTCATTTATTTGAGACAGAGATACAGAGAGACAGAGAGAGAGAGCATGAGCAAGGGAAGGGACAGAGGGAGAGGGAGAAGCTGACTCCCTGCTGAGCCAGGAGCCTGATGTGGGGCTCCATCCCAGGACCCTGGGATCATGACCTGAGCTGATGGCAGAGGCTTAACCCACGGAGACCCAGGTGCCCAATGTTTTCCTCTTAAGAATCATGCTTTTGCCACCCTATCTGAGAAATCTTGTCCAACTCATATTCTTCTAGAAGGTTTGTAGTTTTAACTCTCTTATTTATTTATTTATTTGTTTATTTGACAGAGAGATCACAAGCAGACAGAGAGGCAGGTGGGGTGGGCGGTGGGGAGCAGGCTCCCTGCTGAGCAGAGAGTCTGATGCGGGGCTCGATCCCAGAACCCTGGGATCATGACCTGAGCCGAAGGCAGAGGCTTTAACCCACTGAGCCACCCAGGCACCCCCTAACTCTCATATTTAAACCTAGGATTTATTCTGAGTTAATTTTTTGGATGTGATGCGAGGCATCAACTGAAGTAATTTTTTTGCCAGCGCCAGTTGTTAAAAGGACCATGAAATTATCTTTGTACCTTTATCAAAAACGAGCTGTACATGTATGGGTGGGTATATTTCTGGACTCTCTTTTCTGTTCTGTTTATCTGTTTATCTTTACGTCAACATCATACCGATTAGGTTACTTTAGCTTTCTAATATGTCTTCAATCAGGCTGTGTTAGTCCTCCAACCCTGGTCTTTTCCGTAGCTGCTTTGGTTATTATAGTGTACTTTGTACTTCTGTAAGAATTTTAAAATCAGTTTGCCAATTTAAAAAAGGCTTTCTGGAGGGGCACGTGCACCCAAATGTTTACAGCAGCAATGTCCACAGTAGCCAAACTATGGAAAGAAGAACCTAGATGTCCATCAGCAGATGAATATATACAATGGAATACTATGCAGCCATCAAAAAGAAACGAAATCTTGCCGTTTGCAAAGACGTGGATAGAACTAGAGGGTATTATGTGGAGCAAAATAAGTCAATCAGAGAAAGACTATTATCATATGATCTCTCTGATATGAGGAATTTGAGAGGCAGGGCAGGGGGTTTTGGGGGGTATGGAAGAAAAAAATGAAACAAGATGGGATTGAGAGAGAGACAAACCATAAGAGATTCTTAATCTCACAAAACAAACTGGGGGTTGCTGGGGGGTGTGTGGGTAGGGATAGGGTGGTTGGGTTATGGACACTGGGGAGGGTATGGGCTATGGTGAGTGCTGTGAAATGTGTAAGCCTGATGATTCACAGACCTGTACCCCTGGGGCAAATAATACATTATATGTTAATAAAAATAATTTTTAAAGAAAGCCTTCTGGGGGAGTAGTTTGGAATCGCATGCATTGGTATATATATATTTTTAAATTTATTTTTAATTTTTTTTAAAATTTATTAATTTGACAGAGATCCCAAGTAGGCAGAGGCAGGCAGAGAGAGAGAGGAGGAAGCAGGCTCCCTGCTGAGCAGAGAGCCTGACTCGGGGCTTGATCCCAGGACCCTGGGATCATGACCCGAGCCGAAGGCAGAGGCTTTAACCCACTGAACCACCCAGGCGCCCCACATGTATTGATTGGTATCTTAATAATACTTGAGACTTCTGACCCATGAATATGGTATTTCTCTTTCTTTATTTAGCTCTTCTTTACTTTCTTCAGCAGTATTTTATACTTTGCAGTATACAGGTCTTACATAATCTTTTGTCAGATTTATCTGTAAATATTTAAAGATTTTTGATGCTATTGTTAACGGCTATTGTAAATGTTAATATGTTGTATTTTTAGGTTCCAGTTTCAGGTTGTTCATTGCTAGTGTCCAACAAACCCCTCTAAGACTAGGACTCATGAAACAACACTCAAAGATGAGCAAACAGCTCTGTAGTGAAAGAAAAATCTATTATCAAAGATTCCCATTCTTTTTTTTTTTTTTTTTTTAAGATTTTATTTATTTATTTATTTGACCCAGAGAGAGATAGAGAGAGAGAAAGAGTGCATGAGCAGGCAGAGTGGCAGGGAGAGGGAGAAGCAGGCTCTTCACGGAGCAGGAAGTCTGACATGGGGCTCAATCTCAGGACCCTGGGATCATGACCTGAGCTGAAGGCAGATGCTTAACTGACTGAGCCACCCAGGCACCCCTAGATTCTTTTTTTTTTAAGATTTTATTTATTTATTTGACAGACAGAGATCACAAGTAGGCAGAGAGGCAGGCAGAGAGAGAGAGGAGGAAGCAGGCTCCCTGGTGAGCAGAGAGCCTGATGCGGGGCTCGATCCCAGGACCCTGGGACCATGACCTGAGCCGAAGGCAGAGGCCCCAACCCACTGAGCCACCCAGGTGCCCCGCACCCCTAGATTCTTAACTAATTCCCATTCTTGATGTTCTCTGGCTGACACTCAGAGGGCTACAGTTCTTCATTAAGACTGCTATCCTGGCCAACAGTAAAACCAGGTGTTTAAGGCACAAAAGGAGAAAATATCTCAATTAATGGACATCCTAAGTTAGTTATTTTGTTAAGAATATGCCAAGAGTTCCATTTCCTTTTCCTCACTCTACCAAAAGAAACATGTGAGTTGTTCAAACACCTGTTATACACCCGGACTCTATGTGTATGACATGTGTAGGAAGCTGGCCTGCATTCAGCTTCTTTATGCTTTTGGTTCCAGCTGACCTGAAAAATATACTATCACTTTGAAAGTAGGCAGTTACACAGAACATGTGAAATGGATACAACGAAAATATGGGTGTGATCTTTAATTGGGTTGGCAGCTCGCAGCTGAGCAACTGGATAAATGACAGAGGAGTCTTGCTGTCCTGGGAAGCACCTGAATTCTCTAGAAACTTAAAAAAAAATTTTTTTTTTTAAAGTAGACGTATGCCTAATGTGGGGCCTGAACTCATGACTCCCAGATCAAGAGTCACATGCTCCACTGACCAAGCCAGCCTCTTTAGAAACTTTTTAAAAGCCATATTTAGGGGCCTCTGGGTGACTCAGTCAGTTAAGCATCTGCCTTCAGCTCAGGTCATGATCTTGGGGTCCTGGGATCGAGCCCTCAGTTGGGCTCTGTGCTCAGTGAGGAGTCTGGTTATCCCTCTCCCTCTGTCCCTCCTTCCCACTCATGCTCTCTCTCTCAAATAAATAAATGAGTAAAATCTTTAAAAAATAAAATAAAATAAAAGGTGTATTTGTGTCTAACTTGTGTGTAAAGCTGTGAAATATGTCTATCTCATGGTTTAAAGCTCCAAGAGCCATTTGGTTCCTTAATTTCCAAATTCCAAATTGGATACCCAACTGTGTACAATGTGTATTTTTAAAAATTATGTGGTTTCTAAAATTAGAAAAGGAAAAAGATAAAAGTGAATGTTCCAGAGACAAAGTAAGTGAATGTCCAGAGACAAAGTAAGTCTCTGACACACCTTCTGGCAAAATCAAATCAAATCCGTCTCTTCGAAGCCAAGGCTTACCGGATCAGCGTGTTCCCAATCTGGTGCCTTATTTCATTCCACTCCTCTTTGCTTTTCCGAGGCCAGGAATTCACGTTCAACTCTGGTTCACTGGGTCTGTGGTTCAACTTCATTGCCAGTGTGTCCTTCCTTTTCACTTTGTTGGCCAGAGCACCTTTGTGTAAGAGAAAGGAAAAACAGTGCATGCTAAGGCTCAAAGTCACCCGGAATGACAACATAAAGGCATACGCACTAAGGCATTTCATAAGATTCCTATTTTTTTTTTTTTTAAATAGGCTCTATGCCCAATGTGGGGCTTGAACTCATGACCCTGAGATCAAGAGTCACATGCTTTATTGACTGAGCCAGCCAGGAGCCCCAAGATTCCTCTTTTTTTTTTTTTTTTTTAAAGATTTTGTTTATTTGACAGAGATCACAAGTAGGCAAAGAGAGGCAGACAGAGAGAGAGAGGGGGAAGCAGGCTCCCTGCTGAGCAGAGAGCCCAATGCGGGGCTCCATCCCAGGACATCCCAGGACCCTGAGGTCATGACCTGAGCTGAAAGCAGAGGCTTCAACCACTGAGCCACCCAGATGCCCCAAGATTCCTCTTCTTAAAGCTGCCTTCCCGCTTGTAGGACTCGGGATTCCATTACTTGCAGATCTGTGTACATACATATCGTTTTTCTTCTTTTCCCCACAGACACAGTAAGTTCACAAGAGTAAAGGACAACATCACTATGTCTTTTTAACACAGCCCAAATACCAACTTCCTTCTACTCCAAATTCTTTAATACCATCAAGGTAAATAATTCTTTGATCACAAACAGATAAAAACCTGCATGACTCTGGGTGCCTGGGTGGCTCAGCTGGTTGAGCTTCTAACTCTTGATTTCAGCTCAGGTCATGATCTCAGGGTTGGGGGATTGAGCCCTGCATCAGGCTCTGCACTCTCTCCCTTTCCCTGCATGCTCTAAAATAAATCAATCTTCAAAACAAACCAAAGCCTGCATGACTCAGTCTACATCGCTCTCTCGGACAGTGGGAAAAATAGGGACAAGGCTCTATCACCATGGCTTCCGGTATCAGTTAGCCAGGTGACTCGATAGGAGATGGTGACTGTTCCCATTCATCTGACACCAGCAAGTAGCTCTACCGATAAAATAATTTTCTCCTTTGCTTTTCCCTTTCTTACTATGATGGCTCTCATCTTCATCCTCTTCGTCTCTGTACTGAATGGGACCTTCTGAATCAGAGTCACTCTCCTTCTCTTCCTCTTCCTCCTGCAGACACCGTGGTAGTTTAGGAACAAGTGAGGTAGATGCCACATCTTCAACGCATACAGATGGGTGGTTTTGTTCCTCTTCTTCTTCATCGTCTGGACTAACAAATTAACATAATTATATTTTCCTTTCAGAAACATAACGGGCAAAAAAAAAAAAAAAAAGAAACGTAACGGGTAACTGATTTGCAAGGCATAGGACTGAATAACTATGGAAAATTCCACGAGGGAAATAATTTATTCCTTCCCTTAACTTTAAGAAACTTGCTAAGAAACTTTTTTTTAGCAGTTATTAATCTAAAAGGCTCTAGGCTCAAATCCTAGCTCTATGACTTACTCACTAGCTTATAAGTTATTTAACTTTTCTGTAAATGTGAATGATACCTACCTGCTAGGCTTGTTTTGAGAATAAAACAGATAAATTCTAGAACATACTAGTGTTTGGCACACAGGCCCCTAATGATCTACATGTGAGAAGCAAGTCTGTTTTAAATGATTAAAAGTCTGATTAAATGAGAAGACCACACAGCATCTAACACTGTGCCTGGCTCCTGGAGGATATGTAATAAAGATATTTAACCCACTTATTTCCCTTAGTTTAACAATGGAGTAGGACAAAATGATAATCGAATCCAAGGAAGCAAAGAGATATAAAGATGAAAACTAACTTTGCCCCCTTTCTACTCTGGAGGCATAAAGCTGTGACTTAGTCCATGTGAGCTCCTAAACTGTCTCTTTCCAGGATGTAAAAAAATCATGCTGGCAAGTACAAAGATTATGGCAAAGGAACTAAGCAGTGTGTGGCAACAAGTCTATGACAATTCACCAATTTGCAAATCCTTGGCAAATCTCCAACTCGCCAAAAAGTGTTAGCCTTCAGTCTAATTTGTTAGAATTTTGAAAAGACAAGGTGTTTGGGACAGATGAGGGAGAGAACAAGCTGGTCAGTTCCACTTTGTGAGGCTAGACACTGAGCTATCTTTCAGGGCTCCCTTCTCTTCCTCAGACTGCTCTCTGTCCCTCTCTACTGCATTTAGGCACTGGGCACCAAGCCTTCAGATTTGTCTGATTTCCTCTTCACAAGCCTATGAGATAGGTATTATTCCTGTTTATGGATCTGACAACTCAAGTGCAGAAAGGTTAAGTAACAAACACTACTGCAAGCTAGGAAGAAAGAGGAAGAGCTGGGATTTAAACCCAGAGCTTTCCCCAAGGTTAATGCTCTTAAGTACCATGTTACATGGCCTCCCTTGTATCATATACAAAAAACAGAGTGGTTTAATTTTCAAGTACAAAAATTTATGGTCGCTATGGAAACAGTGTTACAGAAATCAGCAGGGTAAATAAAGTCCAAATTCTAGAACATGTCTTTATTTGTTGAGCATTTTCTAACTTTAATCACAATTTCTTTTTAAAAATAATTTTTTCCAAGAAAGGCTACCTAGAATAAAGAGGAGGAAACAAAAGGCAAACTTCAGAGGCACTCACACTTTCAGCATCTCAATAGTGATGGGAAGTGACCTGGTCCGACCCAGGGTACTGCTGTCCTCAGAAAAGCTGTCACCATACTCAAAGAGCAAGGAGTGAGCTCTATGAGAGCCCTCCAAGGGAGGAGTCATGGGAAGCGGGCTGGTCAGGGCCTGCTGGATTCGGATATGCAGTGGGAGTGGAGGCAGCCTGCAGGGTACATGGGGCTCCCCAAAGCTGTGGTCCAACATCCTCTTGGGTGCCTCCTTTTTCTGATCTTCCTGCTGGGATACCTCCTGAGGCAGGTTTAAGGAAGATGGAAACTCATTTTCTGGCACAACTTGGAAAGTCTTAGCAAGGAAAGGAGGGGATCGTGGCGGTTCGGGAGGTATATGAGTAGGCAGTGGGGGCGATGGAGAGGGAGGTGGGATCATCAACAGTGGTTCAGAGTCCACAGAGCATGTGTTCCTTTCTCTCTGATCACTCAGTGCTCTTGTGGTGGCAGACTCCGAGGCGGGTACCAAGGTTGATGGAATGCCTCTCTTAGGTGGTAATGGTGGGGATGGTTTTGATAAGAGTGTACCGCTGTTTATTGCTTGGGACAGTTCAGCTGGAAAAGAGAGAACAACACCTTAGTTTAAGATGGCTTCACAGAGCTTTGAAGGACCAGCCCAGAGCCTAGATTAGAACTGAGCTTACTCTCAGCTTTCAGGTGAATTATACCACTTCGTGGCTTTATCACAACCTAGGTATCTCCCACTAAATAAAACAAAATTTATATTTAAATATCTAGAAGGCCTAAAATATGTACAGACAGACTACCTTAATACTCTGATAAGAAATTTCTTACTTCTTTGCTCTAATATGTATGACTTTTTGTGACTTGGTGAGATTAAAAATATAAGTTCTTTTGTCTAACAGAATTCCATTAAAAAATTTGACCACACTCGCCTGGGGGGCTCAGTGGGTTAAAGCCCCTGCCTTCCACTCAGGTCATGGTCCCAGGGTCCTGGGATCCAGCCCCGCATCGGGCTCTCTGCTCTGCAGGGAGCTTGCTTCCTCCTCTTTCTCTCTGCCTGACTCTCTGCCTACTTGTGATCTCTGTCAAATAAATAAAATCTTAAAAAAAAAAAAAATTTGACCACACAGGTAGCAGTAAAAAAAACCTAAATACTACCAGGCATTGTTACCATAACTTGATAAATAATGACATCTAGATATCCCAGTTCTACATTATAAAATTATCAATAATGACATCCTAAATTTTTACAGCAAATGCAAAGGACTTTGAGGAAATCAAAGTGCTTTGCTATCCTTGACTTTGGATTCTCCTTGTAAATGAGGTTATCTTTTCTTTCTTTTTTTTTTTACATTTTTATTGTGTTATGTTAGTCATCATACATCATTAGTTTTTGATTGTTATTATTTTTTGAATTAATATATAATGTATCATTTGCTTCAGGGGTTCGGGTCTGTGAATCATCAGTCTTACACAATTCACAGCACTCACCAAAGCACATACCTTCCCCAACATCCATCATGTGGTCACCCTATCCCGCTACCCTCTAGCCGCCAGCAACCCTCAGTTTGTTTCCTGAGATTAAGAGTCTCTTATGGTTTGTCTCCCTCCCCAGTACCATCTTGTTTCATTTTTTCCCTCCCTTCCCCCCACGACCCCCTTCCCTGCCTCTCAAATTCCTCATATCAGAAAGATCGTATGATAATTGTCTTTTAGAGGAGGTTATCTTTACCAATTTACAGAAGACAAAACTGAAGCCACAGAAGTCAGATGACCTGCCCAAGATCATATTACATACAAGGGCTGGGCTAGTCCCAGGTCTCATTAGACTCCATCCACTAGATCTCACTGTCTTTGTGATTTTTATGAGTGTCCATACTTCTTACCCTTTATACCCAAGCCTCCAGGACCACTCCCCACTACTCTATGGGCTCCTTGATGACAGAGCAACCCGTCTCTATCAGCATATCCAGAGAAGTGGGCACAGTGCTTGGCACATGGCTGATCCCCAACACATGCTTACGAGAGGCCCCCACCCTGTTTCACGACAATATGTATCTCTATGTGATCCTCCCAACCCCAAAACGACTCAGGTTTTGATTCAGCAAAGTCCCTTCGGAGGGCTCCAAATGGACTTTAAGAAGTAGATCATCACATCACCCGTGGGCTAATCTTGCAAAATAATTAAATACTAAGTCTCTTGATCACCAACCTCTAACCCTCTACTCAAATCCCAAATTTTGGTTACACCACTTGTTTTCAAATGGCTTCCACTGTCTTACCTAGAGAGCAACACCTCAAGGTCCCCTGAAATAAAAATTTACTTGCCCTAAGTCCAATTCCACTGGTAGCATTCAAAGTAAAAAACTAGCTAATGTGATGATGTTCTAATGTCACTAATCATAAGTAAATTTTTTTTTCAGTTTTAACTACATCTACATTTTATTAGGCATAGTTACTTATTCATAGGCCAAATTATGAAAATAATTTAAATATGTAAGATAACAATAATATATTAACTGTGAATAAATTAACTTTATATTACTTTAATCATTGTTTTTTATATATTATAAATGCCCAAATTCACTTTTAAAAAAATATAATTCCAGTATAATTAACACAAAGTATTATACATCTTAGGTAAATTTTAAAAAGACTTTCTAGAAAAACATTGCATACACATATAAAAAAAGATTAAAAAAAATATTAATTTTAACCTCAATGAGATTTTTTGGGTAGACTGGACTTTTGCTGCTTCTCTAAAAATAACCGTTAGATAATCCATTTACAACAAATCCTACACCTGACAAGACCAAATTTGAGTATTATATTGTTTGAATTGATAAGTTATATTATCTTTGATAATTTAAGGAAAACAGATACTTCAAGATATTAAAGAAGTGAACTCTGTTACAACTTCCCTCATGGTGGCACTTGGCTGAGTTCTGTGGGCAAGACGCTGGAATGTTCATTGGAAGGATTACAAATTCCCTTCACTTGTTCAGCTATTTATGGCAGCCCTTCCTTTGTCCTAATACTCCTAACCAGTCCTTTAGTCCTAACACTGTTATGCCCATTATCAGACACTGCAATGTCTACAGCAGTGGTTTCTAAATGTTCGGATCTCATGGACCAGTACAATTAAAATGAAATTCTCAACCAACCTCAGGCTGTCAATTTTTAATATTTCCAAGTAAGTCTTGACATTAAGTAAACCATTTGTGAAGATAATCCTTTCATGAAATAAATGGATTTTTATCAACAAAGAATTAGCAAAGTCATAATTTCAGAATAAAGAATAGTCCTTAAAATCAAATCTAGCTAATCTTAATAAAAACTCTGTGAACAGTCCTATTTTTCTCCTTCTGCTGAGGACCACTCAATACTGATGTTATTGGGTGATGGACATTGGGGAGGGTATGTGCTATGGTGAGGGCTGTGAACTGTGTAACACTGATGATTCAAAGACCTGTATCCCTGAAGCAAATAATACATTATATGCTAATAATAATAATAATAACAAGAAGACTGATGTTGATCCCTCACCATAAGGCCTATTGCTCTGGGCTCTTCACCTTAGCCCAAGAGTGGCTTCTGTGGTTCAGCCCAGAGAACAGTACACATATTAATCTTTTTTTATATTGCCTTATCCTGAAAAGGGTAGTCTGTAACTGGCTTAGAGCAATGGTTCTCAATGTGTGGTCCCCACGTATGCATCATCAGTATCATCTGGGAAATTTTTAGAAATGTAAATTCTCAGGTCCCCTGTCCCCCCAGACTTAACTGATTCAGAAACTGTCAGGGCAGGGCCCAGCAATCTGTGTTTCAACAAGCCCTCCAGGTGATCGTGATGAGAACCTGTCCAGACATCAGTTTGAGAATACAGGGGTACGGGACAGAGGTCTGGGCTCAAGAGTTGAAAAGCCTAGGTTTGGTTTCTCTCTCTCATTAACTGCAACCTTGAGTGAGTCACAACTTCTTCATGTTATAATTGCCCTAACTATGTAATAGATAAAATCGCTTTCCTACTTCACAAGGTGGTTCTGAAATCAAGTATATGGAAGCTGCCTGAGTTCCTCAGAGATAAATCAACACAGCACTGTCCATCCGGGGTGGTGGTAATACTAATAACCTCCATCCTTTTTTTAAATCAAACTACTCCAGGGGCACCTGGATTGCTCAGTGGGTTAAGCCTCTGCCTTTGGCTCAGGTCATGATCTCAGGGTCCTGGGATAGAGCCCCATATTGGGCTCTCTGCTCGGCAGAGAGCCTGCTTCACCCTCTCTCTTCTGCCTGCCTCTCTACTTGTGAGCTCTCTATTAAATAAATAAATAAAATCTTAAAAAAACAAAAACAAAAACAAAACTACTCCAACCTGTCATACTCACATATATCCTAAGCCTGTTTTTCAGGGTTCTCGTCACCCCACACAAGGTGGGGGTATTAGCTGTTTAATGAGCGTACTTAATTCCTCCCTTTAATCATGAACAAGAACTTCAAGCCATACTAAGCCTAGTATCATTTTTCCTGAAAAACTACCTTCTTTCCTCTCCTCCCTTTCTTGAAAATTCCTCTATGAAGGTATACATGTATGCAAAGAAAAGCTGACCTAAACAGGACTTCAGGTAAATATAAAAAAATTTACTAAAATGATAAAAATGTACTGTTTATCGTCCTGGTTTTCTTTCTTCTATCACTTATTAAGAGTAGCATTCTTGGGACGCCTGGGTGGCTCAGTTGGTTGAGCAGCTGCCTTCAGCTCAGGTCATGATCCCAGCGTCCTGCGATCGAGTCCCACCATCGGGCTCCTTGCTTGGCAGGGAGCCTGCTTCTCCCTCTGCCTCTGCCTGCCACTCTGTCTGCCTGTGCTCGCTCTAGCTCCTCTCTCTGACAAATAAATAAATAAATAAATAAATAAATAAATAAATCTTAAAAAAAAAAAAAAAAATCCCAAAAAAACCGAGTAGCATTCTTAACTCTCTCAAAATAAAACACGACTGTATCAGGACACTTTGAATAATGTATTTCGTAGTTCGCATGAAGGTATTGTACCAGACGCTGAATCAAAAGTTACACTGGCATCCTCACCATCACCTTTTTATCTGCTGGGCTCATGCTAAAGGCAGGCATTGTGGTTTCAAGTAGGTTAAAATAATCCCTTTTCTCCACACAGGTCAGACCTGCTGTGGTCTTTACATGTCCAGTCCCCCAACTAGACACAGTATTTCAGAAACACTGTTTTAGAAAAATAGCTATTAATCCCTCCCTCCCACCAAACTAGAACTTAAATTTATTGGTATCTGATCCTCATCTGTTTTCATTCAAAGCTATCTGCGTCATTTTTAAGACTTTTCTCTTTACTGAGTGCGTTCAGAGGGACAAGACGTGGAGAACTGTCACAGGCCAAATCAATACTGTAGTAATTATCCAATAAAACCACCATCCCAAATCAAACCAAACCAAACCCAAAGCAAGGGAAACCTAAAGACTTACTTACCGATGACAGGGTTGCTATTTCTGTGAGCTGGTTTAGGGGGCGGGAGAGGGGGCTGCTTGGCAGGGACCGTGTGAGTGAGGCTTGGGGCAGTGGTGGCATTAGTGCCTGTGGGAGCAGCAGGCAGAGTCCTGGGTGCTGGGGCTGGGGTGACGGAGGAATTAGCAGTTTTTGCTGGGCTCAAGGCAGCGGGCGCTGCGGTGGGGGCTGCAGCGGGGGTGGAGGTGACAGGCCTGGCCCCGCTGCCAGAAGTGGCATCCTTTGCTTGCCCTTCATTTGCTTCATGAGAAGAGGACAGGGGTCTTTTCGGGGGAAGTAAAGGCTGTCTGTGTGCGTTCTCAGGAATGGATTCTGCTTCGGAATTAGGTTGGCTTCCCGTTGAGCCTGCGTAATGACAGATGTGATATAAAAGTGAGGAAAGAGTCACAAGACAGACTGAAAAAGCGAACATATCTACGGGCTCATGGTCGACTTTATCCATTATTTAACTTGCAGATGAGTTTACAGGCCAAGTTTCCCAACCTCAACATACTTAAGGTAAACAATACTTTCTCAAGCCCAATCCCAGAGTAAGAGAGGTCTGTGTGGTGGTGATTTTGCACACCAGAGCCAGGCAACTGGAGGAGGCACGGAATCCCCCAGGTGGACGAGTGTGCAGCTTGAAAAAGTCCTATAGGTGTCTGATGCTTAACGTCCTCTTCTGTCCTTGAGAATCACAACTTACGTCTTTTGCGAATATAAGAATGAGCAGGGGGAAAATTCCATTTCAAGCTTCAACTAGTTGAGAAATTGCTAGAGAAGAACAGAATTCCCTCTGGATTTTATTTCTCCCCTGGCTCTAGCAAAACTATGAGTTAAATGAGAATGGCTGATCCGTGGCTCTTACACTCACAAACCCAGGGTTTCTCACCTAGTCGCTTCTTTCGGTCCTCTTCTGGAACAGGCTTCCTAAGACTTGCTGTTCTTCCTGACTCTTCTTCTTGGTCTGGACTAGAAGATCTGGTACTTCCTATGGGAGTAGTATGGCCATTTTTTAACATGGCATGGCTCAATTTCCCCAGATCCTCACCACCTGCAAGGTCAAACGGAGAGAGCAAACTGATGGAATGGTGTGGTCAGACAGGGAGGAGAGCTGGAGATTTATAACTTTCTTACCCCTTTCTCCCTCCTCCTGTTTGAGCTGCGGATTCAGATCTAGATTATTCAGATCTTATAGTAGTAACAGAAGTAAGTAATTCTTTTCACCAATAAACAATGGATTGCCTATTATGTGCCAGCTGTCTTGCTACATGAGTAAGACGGACTTAATACCCTAAGTAACGAACACTAATTATTTAGAGCTGTAACAAATGGAGTGTTGGGGTAGGTAGGAAGAAGAAACAATTCTCTTGAGCTGAAAATGAGGTTGGGAAAGATTCACAAAGATTGGTAGCTAAACTGGGTCTTCAAGGAGTAGGAGCCAATCGTACTGCTGACAAGATGAGTCAAGACAGGAAGAAGGAGCAGCATGGGCGAAGGGATGAAATCATCTGGCATGTCTGGGAGCCGGCATCTCGTTTGTCTGGCAGGAAAACAGATACATATAAGAAACAGTTATGGACAGGACTGGAAAGGCCAGTCAGAGCCCGGCTATGAAGAACACCGAATGCCATGTACAAGAGCCTGGGCCAAATCCTGTAAGCAATGGGAAGCCAAAGAATCAAAGGAAGAGAGAGATCTGATCTGATCTGTCTTTTCCAAGGTTAAGTGTGAGAGCTGAGAGGGGGGTGGGTCAGGCAAGGACTGGAACAGGAAAGCTACTGCTGAGCTACTGCTGGAATAAGGGTGAGACGCGTGGAGGGTGTTGGGCATTAGGAATGTGGAGCAAGGGGCAGAGCTGGTGGACTGATCAGAGCTCAATGTGACAGAAAGACACATGCCCACAAACTAAACTGCAGGAATGATCCCTAGGCTGGAGGCTTTGGGAGGACCACTGGTCACTACGGACCGCGCAGGTAATAAGATTCCTGCACAGAACAGTTAGACAAACGTTCCCAGTAACTGCGGAGCTTCCCTGGACTCCTTTGGAGGAGAGAACTGCGAAAACTGAGGTTAGAGATGTAAACTCCGTCTCACCTCCTAGTGTCACGGGGATTGGAAGCGGTTGCTCTCTAGATGGTTTTCGTGTTGGCTTTCCACAGTGTTACCCTCTGGGTAGTATCATCTTAGTGACTCTTGAGTTAGTTCCTCAAGTTCTCAGAGACCAGTCTCCCTCGCCCCAACCTACCACCTCCTACTAGATTAGACCGGATCATTCTCCAGGCGGTGACAATGAGGGGTAGAGCATGGGCTGAAAGCAGGAAAGAGCCTATGGCAAATGAGCACTAAATGAAAATAAATTTCTCAAGCTAAAGTATTTTGATAACTACTTCAAAACAGGGATGGTAGCAAGATGGCAACTACGGAAATGTAGTTAAATTATTGCTTTATGTCAATATAGCTCAGGCTTAACAAAAACAGGACCTTCTAGAATATAAACCAAGGAATCATTTCAAAGCCAAAAAAGACTACTACTTTTGAAAACCATACAGTGAAAGGTCAAGAAACATTATTAACTGGTTTCTACTGCACTAGGTAAATATATGCAAAGGAGATCAGTTATAGGGGTGCATGGGTGGCTCAGTTGGTTAATTGTCAGACTCTTGGGTTCAGCTAAGCCATGATCTCATGGTTGTGAGACTGAGCCCCTCATGGGGCTCACACTCAGCCTGGAGTCCTTTTGTCCCTCTCTCTCCCCTTCTGCTTCTTCCCCTGCTCTCCTGCTTGCACACGCCCTCTCCCTCTCTAAAATAAATAAATAAAATCTTAAAAAGAAAAAGTGATCAGTTATCTTGGATTGTCTGCTTTCAAGTAAAATTTCTCTTTAAAAATTTTTATTAATTTGTTTTTAAAAGATTGTATTTATTTATTTATTTATGAGAGAGAGAGAGAGAGAGAATGAGAGGGGAAGGGCCAAAGGGAGAAGCAGATTCCCCATTGATTGGGAAGCCCAGTGCGGGACTTGATCTTGGAACTCTGGGACCATGACCTGAGCTGAAGGGAGGAGCTTACCTGACTGAGCCACCAGGCACCCCTCTTTTTAAAAAATTTTTAAGATCTATTCTTAAATTCACATATAATAAAATACAGTGTTAGTTTCATGTGTACAATATAATGATTCAACAATTCTATACATTATGCAGTGCTCATCATGGTAAGTGTGCCCTTAATCCCTTCACCTATTTCACTGACCCCTGCCCGCACTTCCAAGTAGCAACCACCAGTTTGTTCTCTGTTTCAGTCTGGTTTGTGTTTTTTTTGTGTGTGTTTTTTCCTTTGTTCACTTGTTCTATTTCTTAAATTCCACATATAACTGAAATCGTATGGTATGTCTTTCTCTAACTTATTTCACTTAGCATTATGTTCTCTAGATCCATCCCTCTTGTTGCAAATGGTAAGATTTCATTCTTTTTTTATGGCTGAGTAATATTCCTGTGTGTGTGTGTGTGTGTGTGTCTTTATCCGTTCATCTATGGATGGACACCTGGATTGCTTCTATATCTTGACTATTGTAAATAATGCTGCAATAAACATGGGGGTATATATAACTTTCTGAAATAGTATTTTCATTTTCTTTAGGTAAATACCCAGTAGAGGAATTACTGAATTATTTGGTAATGCTTCTCTCTCTTTTTTTTAAAAGATTTTATTTATTTATTTAACAGAGAGAGAGATCACAAGTAGGCAGAGAGGCAGGCAGAGAGAGAAGAGGAAAGAGGCTCCCCACTGAGCAGCGACCCCGATGTGAGGATCAATTCCAGGACCCTGGGATCATGACCTGAGCTGAAGGCAGAGGCTTAACCCATTGAGCCACCCAGGTGCCCTCATTTGGTAATTCTATTTTTAATTTTCTGAGAAATGTACATATTGTTTTCCACAGTGTTGCACCAGCTTGCATTCCCACCAACAGTGTATGAGGGTTCTTTTTCCTCCACATCTTCACCAATACCTGTTATTTCTTGTGTTTTTTACTTTAGCCATTCTGACAGGCGTGAGGTGATACCTCATCGTGGTTTTGATTTGCATTTCCCTGATGAAGAGCGATGCGGAGCATCTTTTCACATATCTGTTGGCCATCTGGATGTCTTCTTTGGAAAAATGTCTATTCGTGTCTCCTGCCCCCATCCCCCCCTTAAGAGATTTTATTTATTTATTTGAGAGAAAGAGAGAGAGAGGAGAGAGAGAATGAGGAGGGTATGGTGGAGGGATAAGCAAACTCACACAGGGCTCAATCCCAGGACCCTGAGATCATGACCTGAGCTGAAATCAGTTGTTTAACTGACTAAGCCATCCAGGTGCCCCCTTCTGCCCATTTCTTTAACTAGGTTATTTGTTTTTTTTGGTGTTGAGTTGTATAAGTTCTTTATATATTTTGGATACCAACTCCTTATCAAGTATATCATTTGCAAATATCTTTCCCCACTTGGTAAGTTATCTGTTTTATTGGTGTCCTTTGCTGTGTAAAAGTTTTTTATTTTGATGTAGTCCCAATGGTTTAGTTTTAGCTTTGTTTCCCTTGCTGAAGGACAAATACTTAGGAAAATTCTTCTATGGCTGATGCCAAAGAACTTATTGCTTATGTTCTTTCTAGGAATTTTATGGTTACAGATCTCACATTTAGGTCTTTAATCTATTTTGAGTTTATTTTTGTGTCTGGCATAAGGAAGTGGCCCAGTTTCATTCTTGTGAATGGAGCTGTCCAGTTTTCCCAGCACCATTTGTTGAAGAAACCATTTTACCCCATTGTATATCCTTCCCTCCTTTGACATAGATTAATTGACCATATAATCGTTGGTTTACTTCTGGGCTCTCTGTTCTGTTCCATTGATCTGTATGTCTATTTTTTAAAAAGATTTTATTTATTTATTTGACAGAGATCACAAGTAGTCAGAGAGGCAGGCAGAGAGAGAGGAGGAAGCAGGCCCCCTGCTGAGCAGAGAGCTCGATGTGGGGGCTGGATGCCAGGACCCTGAGATCATGACCTGAGCCGAAGGCAGAGGCTTTAACCCACTGAGCCACCCAGGTGCCCTGATCTATAGATCTACTAAAATTTCTTATATTTAATGCAAAGGTTTTCTACAATGCTAACAGAGTGGAGTATAAGCAGTACCTGGGTTTAACATCTATGAATGTCCTTGTTCCATCTCAGAAAACATATTAAGTATTTTATAATAAAGTCAAGTTAGTAAAAGGCAAAAGACCTGGTTGGTAGAGTAGTATCTTGTTCAATGGCTACAACTCATTTATCAAATGGGGCTTTGAGCTTATAGTCTAAAAACAACTTGGATCAAAAGCCAATAGGAAAAAAAAAAAAAAGAAAAAAGAGCCAATAGGAAGCATAAGGCAAAGAAACTGAATGAAGGTGAAAAACAACAAGCAAGTAATGTATGGGGTTTGTGGGTGAGCAAGAAAAGTAAGAGGCAGGAGAGGGCAAGGGGTAGAAATGGCTATTATCCAAAAAAAAAAAAAAAAAAAAAAAGGAAAGAAAAAAAGCAAGGGTCAAATGTGCTGCAACACAGGTGTTACAATTATAGTTAACCACCTAAAATACCTAGAAGATTTTGTGTCCAAATATAAAATTCAAAGTCCTGTTAAAAAACTGGTTATCCGGGGCGCCTGGGTGGCTCAGTGGGTTAAGCCTCTGCCTTCGGCTCAGGTCAAGATCTCAGGGTCCTGGGATAGAGCCCCGCATCGGGCTCTCTGCTCAGCAGGGAGCCTGCTTCCTCCTCTCTCTGCCTGCCTCTCTGCCTGCTTGTGATCTCTCTGTCAAATAAATAAATAAACAAATCTTAAAAAAAAAAAAAAGGTTATCCATGCTCATAGCTAAGCATGCAGAAAATTCAGAAAAATAGAAAAAAAAAAGCCTCCTGTATTCTGATCCTGACAACAAATTCTAATTAGTATTATAGTAATTTTCCTTCATGTTTGTTTCCTTTGTTTAATTTTTATACAGCTGAGGGGTGCCTGGGTGGCTCAGCCGGTTAAGCGTCTGACTCTTGATTTCAGGGCAGGTCATGATCTCAGGGCTGTGAGATCGAGCCCCTGATAGGCTACATAGTGGGTCTAGAGCCTGCTTAAGATTCTCTCCCTCTCCCTCTGTCCCCCAGCCCCTTCAAATTTTTAGGTAGTTGAAATTAAAAAATCTTCAGTTCAGGGGCGCCTGGGTGGCTCAGTCAGTTGGGTGTCCAACTCCTGATTTCAGCTCAGGTTGTGATCCTTGGGGTCGTGAGATCAAACCCCACGTTGGGCTCTGCACTCAGCAAGGGGTCTGCTTGGGATTCTCTCTCTTCTCCCTCTGTTCCTCCCCACACTGTGCTTGATCTCTAAAATAAATAAATCTTTTTTTTTTTTAAGATTTTATTTATTTATTTGACAAAGAGTGAGCGAGGAAGCAAGCACAAGCAGGGGGAGTGGTGGAGGGAGAAGCAGGCTCTCCACTGAGCAGAGGGTCCAATGTGGGGCTTGATCCTAGGACTCTGGGATCATGACCTGAGCCAAAGACAGCCATTTAACACACTGAGCTACCCAGGTGCCCCCAAAATAAGTAAGTCTTTAAAAAAAAAAAAAAAACACCTTAATCTACATAATTTAATTAAATTTTGTGAATAAGCAATATAACAACATGGTTCAAAACCTAAAAACTGTAATATTCCATTGGTTTGGTTCCTTCCTCCCACTGTCCAAAGGATAGGATACAGTTTTAAAACTTGAGTTTCAGATCTGCCTCATGCAAAGGAACTCTAATGAAGAGAAATGAAATACAAACAATGTACTGTATTCTTAATTCTTCTGATAAGCTGCTTCATAAAAGTCACACATTGGAGAAAAGTCCTGACATTATTAAACAAGAAATACCAAAACATGATCTTTATGACAAATAGAAGATTAGGGAAGCAATCTGGGCATGCAGACAAATTTGGTCAAAAAAGCTCAAACAAACAGGGACACCTGGGTGGCTCAGTCAGTTAAGCATCTGATTCTTGATTTTGGCTCAAGTCAGAACTTTGGGGTGATGAGACTGAGCCCTGCATCTGGCTCCCTGCACTCAGCAGGGAGCCTGCTTGAGGTTCTGTCCCTCCCCCGGTTTCTCTCTTTCTCTAAAACAAATAAAATATTTAAAATATATATATTAAAACAAAAAACAAAGGAAAGCGAGACAGTACTGCAGCCAGCACAAAGCTGAGATCATAAAGAGACACAGAGAAGATCAGCTCCAAGGATCCTTCACAAGTCATTCAATTTCAGAGTTAAAGGTCACAGCCTGTTAGGGTAGACATTTGCAAGAAGAATGAACAGTTTTTTTTTTGTTTTGTTTTGTTTTTTTTTACCCCTCACTAAGAAAATGGCCATTTTTAGTATAGGAAATTAAGAGGTAATTATTAGAATAAAATCATTTCATATTTACACCCTTAAGTTGATATTCCTTAAAAAAAAAGTTTTTCTTATGTTTAAATATTTTCCCTTCAGTAGATATTTTCATTCCCACAAAAAATATTTGCCTTCCTTAAATAAATCAAATATAGATAGCACAGCACTGAATTCTCTCAAAATATCTTGTATTTAGTTTTTTATTGTCAAGTATAATACTAGTAGAGAAAAATACACAAAACATAAATGTAAATTTCAATGAGATATTTCAAGGACACTTGTGTGATCATCATGGACATTAAGAAATATTTCCAAATAGCCAAACTGTAGAAGGAGCCCAGATGTCTATTGACAGATGAATGGATAAAGATGTGTTGTATATATACACACATAAATACACAATGGAATATTACTCAGCCAACAAAAAATTGAAATCCTACTATTTGCAATGACATGGATGGAACTAGAGGGTATTATGCTATGCAAAACAAATCAGTCAGAGAAACAATTATCATATGATCTCACTCGTATGTGGAATTTAAGAAACAAAACAGAGGATCATAGGGGAAGGGAGGGAAAAATAAAACAATGAAAGTAGAGGGAGGCAAACCATAAGAGACTCTTAACTATAGGAAACAAACAGGGTTGCTAGAAGGGCGGTGGGTGGGGGGATGGGGTAACTGGGTGATGTAATGAGCGCTGGGTATTATATGCAACTGATGATTCACTGACCTCTACCTCTGAAACTGATAATACACTGTATGTTAATTCATTGAATTTAAATACAAGGGAAGGGAGGAAGGAAGGAAGGAAGGAAGGACGGACGGAAGGGAGGGAGAAAGAAAATGTTTCCAGAGGGTGTGCCTGGGTGGCTGGCTCTGTTGGTTAAGTGTCTGACTTTGGTTTAGGTCATGATCTCAAGGCTGTGAGACCAAGCCCTGTGTTGGGCTCTGTGCTCAGAGAGGAGTCTGTTTCTCTCCCTTTTCACCTGCTGCACCCCTCCCCCCGCCCTGCCACTCACATGCTCTCTCTCTCTAAAAATGAATAAACCTTAAAAAATATGTGTGTGCGTGTATATAACTTGTGATACATTTATAAAATGAAATATTATACAGTGGTGAAAACAAACTACACCGGCATGCTAAAATATGATTCTTGTAAGTAATACTGAGCAACTGTAGTCAGTCATGAAAGAATACATATATCATTTCTATAAATATAAAGAAAAAACAGGCAATCTTAAAGTGTTTAGAGATGCATGCTTAAGTGGTTAAACTATAATAGAACAAACAGGATTATCACAAGAGAAGAGTAACTGCTCTGTGGGGGAAGGAGAGGTGTGTTAGGAGGAGGCAAGGGAGGCTTCAGGGATCTAGAAACATTAAAAAAAAAAAGATTATTTATTTATTTATTCATTTGAGAGAGAGTGAGAGAGAGCAAGCGCACGCGCACAGATGAATAGGAGGGACGGACAGAGGGAGAAGGAGGGGGAGAGAGAAAATCCCAAGCCGACTCCACGCTTAGCACAGAGTCTGATGTAGGGCTCAATCGCATGACCCTGAGATCATGACCTGAGCTGAAATCAAGAGTCGGACACTTAACTAAGTCACCTAGGGAACCCTATATATTTTATTATCAGTGTGTATTTGGGCTGTTTCCAATTTTGCTCTATTGTTAATAAATATTGCTGTTACAAGCATGTTTGTACATATCTCCTGATATACATGCATTCATATTTTTGTTTATATACCAAATTATGGACATGCCTGTACATACGTTTGCATCTCTCCAGCTTTCACAATTATGCTAAACTTTTTTTTTTTTTAAAGATTTTATTTATTTATCTGGGGCGCCTGGGTGGCTCAGTGGGTTAAGCCTCTGCTTCGGCTCGGGTCACGATCCCAGGGTTCTGGGATCAAGCCCTGCATTGGCCTCTCTGCTCCGTGGGGAGCCTGCTTTCTCCTTTCTCCCTACTTGTGATCTCTGTCTATCAAATAAATAAATAAAATCTTTGACACAGAGAGATAGCGAGAGCAGGAACTTAAGCAGGGGAGTGGGAGAGGGAGAAGCAGGCTTCCTGCCTAACAGGGAGCCTGATGCAGGGCTCGATCCCAGGACCCTGGGATCATGACCTGAGTTGGAGGCAGAGGCTTGATCAGTGAGCCACCCAGGTGCCCAGATTATGCTAAATTAAAAAAAAAATTTTTTTAAGTAATCTCTACACCCAACCTGGGGCTCCAATTCATGACCCTGGAATTCGGCTGTCACATGCTCCACTGACTGAGTCAGCCAGGGCCCCATTTGTATATATTCTTTTTTTTTAAAATTTATGTATTTATGTATATATTCTTTAGTGAACTATCCAGTGCTTCCGTAGACTCTTTTACTGAGTTGTCTTTTTTCTTTTGTAAAAGTTTGAAAAAAAGAACGTTCTGGATGCATGAAAACCTTTAAAAAATCTCCCCTACCTCCCAAAAGCAATAAAAAGAAAATTCAAATGCCTAGTCAGAATCAAACACCCAAGTGTATAGAGACAGACATACACTATTCTATTTATAAACTCACCCTGCTCAGAGTCTTCCAAGAGAACCCCTCTTTTAACCAGCTCTTCTCTCGGTTTTCGCATAGATATTTTTCGCTCTAAAACTAATATTAAATTGGAAAACAACATTAAGAAATGTGGCAGTTAAAGGTCCATTTTAAGCATTCTAACTCAACAGGTAAAAGAACAAAGTGGTTCAATTTTCCATTCTCTGGAAAGAATAGGAAAACTAAATTCAAATTTAAAAGCATAATTTCTTCCATATCCTATGTTATGGGGAAAGCAGCATTTTCAAAAGAAACTATACTGATAAAATTTTAGCTCTTTCTTTTTTAATTGGCATTTCAACAATATAGTATTTATATACTTATGGATGAACTTTCTCTGCAAGTGGTCAGAGTAGAAAAAGAAGCATCATAGATTTGCTACCATTCACGAACTCCATTCACCACTTGATAAACTTTAATTCCATCAATAAACTTTCATTCCATCAAAATGGCCATCTGGGGATGAGACTATAGTACATAAAACCCCTTGGTTTTATTCCTGAAAGACTGAATTCCCTCTTCAAATAGAGGGTTAGAGAAGCTTGGGAAGAGAATGAGAAAGTTGGATACTTCTAAATTAAGAAACTCTGTAACTCAGAACATATATTTAAATCTTAATGTCTCACCTTCTGATGTCTCTTTGAATTTATCACTACTTTTTTTTTTCCGCCATTTCCAGGGCTTGAAGATCTTGCCAAAGCCTGAGAACTTGCTCTTCCTTTTGGTGGGAGGCGTCGTGTCTCCTGCTTCCACACTGTCCATGACCATGCCTGGGTCTGCGGTGGGCTGACTTGCTTCCTCTGTAGTATGGTGAAAGGCACACAGGGAAAAGAACAGCCAATTTATTATGTCAGCATAATTTCTAAAAGGTCCCTTCCCCTCTCTTCCTGTGGTGGTTGGAAAGGATCAGAGCAATGATAAACAATCATGCAGACAGATTCCTTGACATCACACGGACACCAAACATCACAATCCGTAACAGATAAATTACTAAAAGGGAAAAGGAACCACACCAAGCTGACATCATTTTAGGACACAAATTCAATGAGATGATCATAACCAGCTCGAAATCTCTTAAAAGGCATGAACACACACACACACACACACACACACACACACACACGAATGTGTTTCAATATGAATGAGATCTTGCCCCCTGCAGCCTATTGCTGTTCCCATTCTCATCCTTTTGGCACGGGGTGGGTTGGGGGGAGGCCTTCCCCAACTAACATTACTGCCTCTGGTGTCACTGAAATGGGGAGTTCCATCTTGAGTAAGTGAGTCATCATTCTCTACTAAACACTGCCCTCCCTCTGCCCTTCTCTTTCAGGACATTAATAGTTCAGGGCGGGTAACACAGCAAGTATTAACACCTTCCTTGTACCTGTTTTTTTTTTCAGGTTATTTTTTTCCTTTCACAAGACCCTAAGTTTGGAGCACTGGAAGGAGCCTGGGGCTGCGGCTTTACAGACAGTGCTTTAAAATGAAATCTTTTTTTGGGAAAGCAGAGGTGGGATTCCAGTTTGCCTATCACAATAGTACTTTAGGGACAGTCATGATCTTAAGGATATGACAAAAACTGTCACTGACACGGTATTATGTGCGGGACTGAAATGAAAGGCCATGAATCCCTCACAATGACCACACATGCAGGGTTTAGTTAGTTAGCTCTAGTGGCAGAGAAAGGAGCAGCCAAGACTGGGCCAAGAATAATAATAATAATAATAATAAAAATAAAAGCAGGAAAGCAACAAAAAAAAAGCAGGAAGGCAACACAATACAGCTTTGCACTCCACCTACTGTCCCAGGGTTCTCTGGAGAAGTCTAGAGGAGAAGAAAAAAAGAGTCATGAGGAATAACCATCCTGGAATCAAAGTGGAACCTTTACTTTATAGAAGAACATCAAGGATCACATATTATAATATCCCATGTAATAAGTTCACATGCTTATTGTACACAACTTCAGATCTGAAGCAAATAACGCTCTTTTTGGGGGGGATAAATGGGCATAATATGTGCACTAAAAAGTTTCTTTTAATACTGTGGATAGTTTTTCATAAAAGAAAATACATAATCAACAAGCATTTATTATTATTACTATTATTAAAGATTTTATTTATTTATTTGACAGAGAGAGACAGTGAGAGAGGAAACACAAGAAGGGGGAGTGGGAGAGGGAGAAGCAGACTTCCCATGGAGCAGGGAGCCTGACATGGGGCTCAATCCCAGGACCCTGGGATCATGACCTGAGCCAAAGGCAGACACGTAACGACTGAGCCACCCAGGCGCCCTGCATTTATTATTTTTTTTAAGAAACAGTTGCCAAATTCTATCTTCTTTGGTTGATAGATGTGAGTCTAGGGAAACCTGTTGATGAAAGTCAGATTTACAGAATTGTCACGATCACAGTGACTACAGCAGTGACTGCCGGATGCATTATTTTTCTGTACGTTGGTGACTTAGGCAAAACAGGGTTCTGGCTACTGAAGGAGATGAGAGGACAATGACTCTTTTCTTCCTAGTTACATGATTTACTTGAACAAATCCTGAGTCTCAACTACTTTAATTCTTCCATAAAATGCAAGAGAATCTAGTTATTATAATGCCGGATCATATATCCCTAAGTTTACTTCCAGAGACATCAGAACAGCTCCTATCCCAACAATTTCCCCTCTGTGATACCCGGGATGTACCCCCAGGAGTGGGACCTGGGTGAATACAGGTATTGCTTTTAAGAGTCAATGCTTTAAGACAGTAAACTCCCAATTATGAAATGTCAATGAGACCTCAAGCCATTTTAAATATGTCCTGTAATATAATATTTAGCATATGTTAATGATGGCACTTTCAGAAGTGGAGCTAAGCCACCACTAGGTGTTCATAGTCACCTTACCTGCTAGAGGCAAGGAGGAACTGAAATTTGAAATATCCTGCCACCCATCCACTGAATGGATTTCACTCAGTTCCAAATGATACATAAGAAAATGCCTGTTTGATTAAAAGTAATAGGGAAGATAATATAAAAACTCAAAAAAACAAAACAACAAACAATATGAAAGAAAAGGTGAGTGCTATGTGATACTTTTACAAAGAAAGACAGACAGAAGGCTTGAGATAAGAATGAATCACAGACAAGTTCCTGTCAAGTCCCTCAATGAGATACACCATCTCACTTGCTGCCACTATCTTGCCAGGTATCTAACCTAACCACTTCCTAAAGCAGAACTTAGTTCATCCCTTGTAATCCTTCATTATACTGAACAATATTATTTATGTGTTCCCTTTCTCTCATACATTCAAAACAGTAAGATTATGATATCCTTTCAAACATATTCATACCTGCTGGCATATGAACTTAAGACAAGTTCAATTTATATTCAAAAGTACAGCATGTGTGGAAAATACGAACAGCTATGATACAAAGGACTGTGTCTGCCATCACATCTACTGCTAAAATAGCCCTTTTTTTTCTTTGTGTAAAGATTATAGTTACTGAATACAAAAAGCAGAGAGAACAGCTTTTTTTTTCCTTTGATGTTTTATGCAAATGTTAATTTTCATGTTTATAAAACTTTTATTTTTTTTTTTTATTTTTGAGAGAGCGTGCATGGGATTGAGAATTGGAGGTGGGGGGAAGGGTCAGAAGGAGAGGGAGGGAGAGAATCTTAGGCAGGCTCCACAATCAGCACAGAGCCTGGCATGCGGCTTGATCTCATGACCCTGAGATCATGACCTGAGCTGAAATCAAGAGTCAGATGCTTAACCGACTGAGCCACCAAGGAGCCCCCACGTTTATAAAACTTTTAGAAGAGGACATGCCTCTTGACTCATGCAGTGGGGGGATTCAGCCACACCCAACCCTGACCTGGTTATTATCCCAAATTCATTCATTCTTACATATTCTCATATATTCTTATATTCTCATATTCTCCACATTCCTCCCCTCCATATGACAAATAGAACGTTACTACGGTAACTCCTAAATCTGTTCAATTACTTGGTATTAGCTCAGTTACCTTTTCAAAATACAGAATCCTCAGGTAGTGGGATCCAGGAATCTGTTTTTAAAAATCTTCCCAGGTGACTCTTATGATCAGTCAGGTTTGTTAAAGCCAATCCCAGATTATTATCGGCAAACCTTATGCATGTTCAAAGAGACAGAGGAAGATCTTCTCTCTCTGTAACATAATTCTTTGTTGAAAAAAAATAAACTAGAAAATCATGGCATCATTCCAGTGTTTCCCACTTATGTATAAGTATTCCTAAAGAAGAACTATAAGGGTCTTTCCTGTGCCTTTTAGTCTCAGATGTAGTTTAAATTAAAAAAAAAAAAAAAAGAAAAGGAAAAAAAAGTTCACAGTTATTCTTCTTCCAGATTTCTATTAGGTTAATGTCCACTTGAAAACATGATACATTGTGCAGTTGAGGGGAGTGTTTCATGTCTGCCAGCAAAGTCATGTCCTTTAATCACATTGTACAAATTATTAATATCTTTTCTCATTTGCTGTTAGCTTGTTCTATCAGTTACTAAGAGAGGTATGTTAACAGCTCTACCTATAAAAATGGGTTTGTCTCTTTTGTTTTCAGTTGTTACTTTTTTGCTTTATATACTTTAAAAGCTACATTATTAGATATATACAAATTTAGAGTTATTATATCTTTCTGTTAAATTACCCTTTCATCATTATGAAAGTCCCTGTGTCAATCTAGTAACACTTTTGCCTTGATTTTGTTTTTCTATCTAGTTTGACAACTGTTGTCCTTTAGAGTGTTTAGTCCATTTATATTTAGTGTTTTTCCTGACACAGTGGGGTTTAAGTCTACTGTTTTGCTATTTCTTTTCTTTTTTTTTTAAAGACTTTATTTATTCATTTCACATAGAGAGAGATCACAAGTAGGCAGAGAGGCAGAGCAGGCAGAGGGCGGGGGAAGCAGGCTTCCCACTGAGCAGAGAGCCCAATGTTGGGCTCGATCCCAGGACCCTGAGATCATGACCTGATCCGAAGGCAGAGGCTTAATCGACTGAGCCACTCAGGCGCCCCTGCTATTTATTTTCTATTGGTCTGATTTGTTCTATGAATCCTTGACTTATTACAATCTACACTGTTAGTACTTTAACTAACTTAATAAATACTTAATAAATTACTTAATAAACAATGGAAGAATTTTACAACATTTCAACTCTACTTACTGTGTTGTTATATTTATTTCTGCATAAACAACAATAATTCACAGCAAACATTATTATTGTTGTTGTTTTAATAAACAATATTCTTTTTTTTTTTTAAAGATTTTATTTATTTATTTGAAAGAGAGAGAGAGAGAGATGGGAGAAAAGTCAGCAGGAGAAGCAGACTCCCTGCCGAGCAGGGAGCCTTATGTGGGACTCGATCCTGGGACTCCAGGATCATGACCTGAGCTGAAGGCAGTCACTTAACCAACTGAACCACCCAGGTACCCCAATAAACAATATTCTTTTATATTTCCTACATATTTGCTTTCCCAGGAATCTTTATTTCCTTCTGTAATCCTGTGCTTATAATTAGGATAATTTTTTAAAAAGATTTTTATTTATTTATTTATTTGTGAGAGAGAGAGAGAGAGCGTGCATGCATGTGCTTGCATGGGGGTGGGGGAGGAGAGAAAGAGAGAATCTCAAGCAGATTCTGCGGCTGAGTGCTCGTGCTCTTTCTCTCTCTCAAATACATAAATAAAATCTTTAAAAAATAATAAAGTCAGGGGCTTGGATTTGAATCCCACTTATAGGGGCACCTGGGTGTCTCAGTGGGTTAAAGCCTCT